CCCACAGTTAAGTTAAGATATTAATCATTGGGGGGAAATGTGGTTTATTGAAGATGCAAAAGGTATATAAGTCTGAAAGGTATAACACATTGAATATAAGCACAAATCTGAAAATATATTTAAAAAAGAAGCGGATGTAGTAAAAATGTGGAACAATTAACAAAAGAAACGCTTGAACATAACTTAATCATAGAAAGACTATGCGCTTTATGAACAACAGTAACAGACATTGTTACGGTCAACAATATACTATATACAGTATACTGTATATTTCGATTTTGAAAAACAAACACCTCTATAAAAAGTGACTGAGAATGTCTTTTACCTATATCTTAAGTGTTGTGGGAGTACTTTAAATAAATAAATACATGTATGACTGTTTAAAAAAAGGTATAAGGACATGATTTTAACAAGATACAGGGATGACGCTGTTTGATCATAACTGGGTGTTTGCAGTTTATTTATTTATTTAGTTATTTTATCTTTTCCTGAATATCCTTGACCTCTGTTATGTATTTGTTTGTTTATTTGTTTATGTATCTGCTTATTTGTTTGTTTATTTATCTATTTATTTATTTGTTGTTTTATGTTTTTGTTTGGTTTGTTTGTTTTTTCAATAAAAAATGTATTTCTTTAAGAAAATAAATAATATATATATATGTTAATCATTTAGTTTTTGGGGGTAGGGGTGGGATTAAATAAGTGTGAACTTCTTCCCACCCCTTTTCGTATGTGTAATTAAGTAGATCATTTGTTTATACATAACTTAGAATCAGTAATATTTTTTGTATATCAATTTGACACTGCTTCATTGTGTATTGTATAATAATTATCATGTTAAATGTTTGTATTATTGTTTTACACATTCGAAATAAATCTAATCAAATCAAAAATGACCTCTTTGCACAGTACGTATGTTATGTGGTTAAACAAATACTTTGATAGCATACCTGCAGCCCAGTCCACAGCAATGCCTCGTATCCCGTTGCGTCCTATTCCAGATGTTACTACACTATGTAATCCTGAGCCATCTGGCTTGATCCGTCTGACCCCGTTCTGTGTGGCCACAGTGCTGCTGAAGTCACACCAGTAGATGTATCCGGAGGCCATGTGAACATCAATGTGTAAAGCGTTACGGCCTGCAGGAGGAAAACCCATTCATATTATTATTACATCAAACACAATTACTATGTCAAAAACATTTTGTATCCAGTTACTCTGTCAGTAGGTAAATACATTTATTTTTTCCACCTAAATTCAACTTTAATTTTAGAGCTTGAATTTAAAAACCATTATTAAACCATTATGAAGTATTTTTTTATTAATTGACTTATCCGTCAGCTTAACAATGAACATTATAAACACATCAACAGTAACACCCAGTTTGTGTTTTATCTCATCTTCAAAATGAATAGGGACATTTTTTAAATATATGTTTTTTTCAGTTTTCTGTACCTATTTTTAATATGATGGAAATGGATGCCACTGATGAAAACCAAAGGCCAAAAATATGTTGCCAAGTTCTCAAAATGGTTTCCAGTGGCAACCTGGCAACCCTTACTGCCAATTCCAGCTGTGCATCCATACAACAGTAGTGGGAAATGTATGAAAATAACTGACCTATCCCAGCCACAGGCATCATGGCCTCAGAGTGGTCTGCCCCTTCCAGACTGAAGCCTTTGATCGCAGAAAGAGTGGAGATGACGACATAGGACTGGTAGGGAGTGCAGGTCCTGTTGTCAGCGTTGAGTTTAAAACCTGTGGCGCATGCACAGGTAAACAGACCCTGCGGCCGAGGCAGGCAGAGCTGCTCACACGCTTCCATGTTGTTGGTGCAGCCATTGGAAGTTCCCGCAGAGGCTACGTTTGTTGAGAGAAAACAGTAAGATGCACAAAAGAAAAAAACAACTACAGGTAAAAAGACAGCATTGAACGATGATGACACTCACCCTCACGATAATGCACTTTCAGAACTCTGAGTCCAGAAATGTTGTCTCGCAGCACAATCCTGTTGGCACCCGTGGACTTCTCCACGCGCTCTATCACCTCAAAGTTGCGGTCAGTGAAGTAGAGGTAGTCTTGATAGACGGCCACTCCCCAGGGGTGAGACAGGCCGGTCACTATAGTGATGCGGTTACTTCCGTCTGGATCCCCACGCTCAATCTGTGGAGATCACACGCATATTTGTACCAATATTAACATTAAATTCAAATGAATTAACAAATGGCAACTCGTGAGGGCTAAAAGAGTGCAGACCCACCATGCCAGTGCTAGTAACAGCCCAGTACAGCTTGTTCTCTTTGATGTCCAAGGTGAGGAACTCAATGTGATCCAGGTTGCTGGTGAACAGGATGGCAGGGTTCAAGCCATCCATGTCTGCAGACGCCACCTTGGCAGCGATGCCGCTCTCTGTTCCCTGGTCTGTCCAGTACAGTTTTCTTTCAAGACATTCAAGAATGGAGGTTAGGGTTTGTGTGTCAGACATTTACAATTCAGCCAAAGATCTGCATTCTTATTACTTTTTAATAGTCTAATGTAGTTATATTCAAAACCACTGAGACGACAATCACGGGGAGAATCTTTCATCTCCAAAATATGAGCTTTTCAGTGGCTCAGACATCAGCCTTGAATTTGGATAATGGAAAAACACTTTCCAAGTTTGTGCACTTGTTTATGTAAGGTTTTAAAAAGATAACTTAATTTTAAGTTATTCAATTAAGTTATTATGCAAAGTTTTTACGTTTTATACGAATAATGAAATTCCTGCAAGACTAATTTGATCACATTACCCCAAATCAGAGAGGCAATGTTTACATATTACAGTTGGAATAGATGGATTTAAAATGTCTGGGATGTTTCTTGATTGTACTCTTGTGTGCAGCGTGGTTTTCAGTAACAGTGGTGAGACTCTCTCTAGAGGCAGAGCAGATGGCGACGAGGAGCTGTTAGAGCTCAGTAGCTGTGGGGATGAGTGGCCGTGCCAGAATTGTGTTAAATGGGGCTTACCCACGTGCTGGATCCACCGCGATGCCAACAGGACTGCCAGCGCCAGTTGGAGAGCCGTTATTTGTGATGAGAGTTTTCCTGTACTGTACCTCCCCTCTCAACTTCAAAACCTGGCAGAGGACAAACACAAACAGGAGCGGTTAGTGTGTTTGACACTGGGGCTGTGTATTGGCAAGTCTGATGATTCTAACATATTTTGAGTTCTGATTCAATATACTGCAATACTGTATGTGAGGCGATATATATATCACGATTTTTGTTTTATGTAATAAAAATAAATAAAAGTATTAAACACAACACCATGTTAATAAAATCAATGACAATACCTATATCTGCCTTAGCATTTTTAAAAGTCACTGTAACATCCAAAAGAAAATACAAATTGTTCCTGCAATCAGAGCAAAGGGAGTAACATTTGCCTATATCAGTTAAAAAGGGGGGTTTGTTGGACTGTTAAGCTAAACAAATAATGAAAATACAAAATTAAACAGACAGTAAAACAGTTAAAAAAATGATACTGTGTCTTTGAGAATTTATATTTTACATAATAGGAAATGGCATAACAAGATAACAAGACTAAAGTCAAGTGTATCATTCATTTCTTACATGCCTATTAGACACTTCTCTTATTTGCATTTAATTTCAGATTTTCTTATGCAATCACAACAGAATAGCTATTTTGGTTAGAGTTAAAGTCAGTAATAATTGGAAGGCAACAACCACAGGACAAAGTATTTCTTGATTACCTCAATAGACTGTGTAGCTGGGTTGGTATAGTACAGGTTCTCTGTTATCCAGTCCAAGGCCAGGCCAACAGGGGAGCCGAGGATGGCTGCAGGGGCGAACTCTGTCCTGTTGGTACCATCTGACTTCACCCTGTGGATCTCACCCTGGGGGACAAAGGAAGACAGAATATTCTCAGAAACAGCTATACTGTATATACAGTAGATGTATTAAGTGAATACACTGAATAAAGCAGTTTCACAGAAGAAAGAATAAGTGTTTCTCTAATGCTGTTCGTCCAAAACGTTTTCTAGGGTTGTTTTTCTGACGACTAAAGATCCAGATGTCCAATCACTAAAACACTTCTTCCGGTTAGAATGTATAGTTTAAAATGACAAAGGTCTTAACAATGTATGTATCGTTAACATGTGGCTTAACTGGACAACAACTATATTTTTTACAGCTTTTTGTAGCAAAACCACAACTCCTATGCATTTGCATCTGGATACTGTACGTCGCTATTAGAGATCACTTCACAGAAAAGGAACCTTGACGGCTTTCTCTAGATTTGAAAGTAGTTAGAAACGAATTGTATGATATAAATACACAACTCAACAACATATATTACATAGATTTAGTTGTTTTGAGACATTTTATTAGGGAAATGTTACATATCATTTCTTTAATCCTAAACTCAAAGTTGTATTTGGAGGACATCACATTGTTCTGAATTCGACATCACATGGCAGTAACTTACCGGGTGCTCCACCCAGAAGATGGTCTCTTCATTGTCATCAAAGTCAACATCGTATCCATTATGAAGCCCAGCGATAGGGACCATAGCATCATTTGTCTTGTCATCTGGGTCCAGGGAAATGCCATAGATGATGCTGTCTCGCACAACCACCAGGAAAGGATCTTCAACTACAAGTCAAAAGTCAAAAGCAATGAATAAACAGTACTTACGGTTACAATTCAAAACCCTTTCCTCCTAAATTAACACAACAAACAAAAGCTACGTCAATGCGACTGTGAAAAATAATAATCCTACCCTAAACTAGAATTTTATGTAAATTACTCAGTTCTTTAAAAGATCCCTTACAAATTCTAAAACAGAGCTAATAGACCGTGTTTCCTGGAAATGGATTAAAGGGTAATCCTAAACTTAAGTTTATTTCAGTGTATTTTATACCTGGTGCAAAATAGGAAGCTAAAAGGCCTTTATCTATTAAGAGGATTGACTGGTGAAAGTTGTTTCAACATCTGATTTGCTTTGTCATCAGAGATTAGAATCGATGAATGGTTGTGGGGCATTTTCATTCTTGGATAATCGTCGGCCTCAGGGGGAGACTGTGTTCTGCTTGGCTTGAATGAGCTGAAACCTGAGATGAGTTAAGCTGTTGACCCAAGGGGGACTCCTTGGACTTTGGATTAAAGGTCCCTTGTCTCCCTAAGACCTTGAAAGACATGCTTATATGAATCTATCTAATTATATTTATGACTGGAATAGCAGGTTACAAGAGAATCTAAATGGAAGAGTGTTGACAAGGACCTGGATCGATCTATGATAGTGTTTTTTAAGATTTATCCACTTACCAATAATGAGATGACTGCAAATAAATCATGCAATAACCACCATCTCCAACAACAGGTTCAACCACAACTAAAATGAATACCTTGTGAATACATCAACTCATCAACTGCATCTGACCCAAATTCCTTTTTCATCAAACTGAGTGATGAGTGTTTTCCTGTCCTTGGCAGGATGCATACCTCTGGTGCAGGTGATTTGGTCTGCTGCCAGTGTCCAGCCTGAGGGGCAGGCACACGAGTAATAGCTCGGTCCCACAGCAGAAAGCAAGCAGATATGAGAACAGGGACTCCTCAAGCAGTGATTTTCACCTGAGAATTGTCAAAAAACACATACATACACACAAAAAGTTAACCGAGTAATCTTCACAGGTTCTCTAACCTTATTCTTAAAGAGACAGTTCACCCTTAAAGTCAAATTATTTTTCCTTTTACCTGTGCTGCTTTTTATGAATCTAAATTGATTTGGTGCGAGTTGTGTGGGATATTCTCGGCTGTATAAATGTCTGCCTTCTCTCAATTATAATAGAACAACATGTCAATTGGATAGTGACAGACCTTGTTGTGAGCAGTTTCATGTAGGAATGATTTACTTTCTTCAAAACTACACTGAAATCGAATCACTGCGCATAAGGAGGCTTAACTAAATTGCTAGCTCACCTACAGTAGCACCTCTAAGCAAGCTAACGTCACCCGAGGACATCCTGATTATTGAAATTGTTACATTTATTGTGCACTTTAAGCCCACCATCGAAGCACCATTTAGTTCCATTATATAGAAAAGGCAGTCATCTTTATGACCAATATCTTTAACATTCTCCAACTCACACCAAAACCATCCAGATTAAAAAAAAACAGCACAATAGGTAAGAAGACAAAAATGTATGTTTGAATCTGGTGTGAACTGTCTTTTAAAATGTTTTTACAATAACAATGGACATGCTGCATATTGACCTCATTATCCCAATAAAGTAAGATAACGACCAAACCAATTCAGGTCGCCAACACAATGGTAAACATAAGCTGTAATGCTGATGCCACATGTTGATGTAGATAGAACATCTTGCCATACCTGCCGGCTGCCTGGCTGGGTGCACTGTCACCAGACCCATGGGCTGAGGGAGGTTGAAAAGCATCACTGTCTGGTTCTCCCCGTGCCACTTATGGGCTCGCATCACACGGTTGATGTATCTGTCGGTCCAATACACAAAATCCTCAAAAATGGTAATTGCGTGGGGATGTTGCAGTACCTTTTCACAGAGAGTAGCAAAAGAAAAAAAAGGGTCTTACACATGCTATTCAAAAGAAAATGGAACGTGCTCTTCAATTGTATATAATCAATGTAAATCATATCTCTACAGATAATTCAGAAAATGTGTTCTTCTCAAACACTCACCAGGTCACTGGCCAGAACTTGTTTTCTATTGTTGCCATTAAAATCGCAGTAATCAATGAAATCCAAGTAGGCATCTGCAAAGTACAACAGATTGTTTGGATAGTCTATGGTTAGACCGTTGGGCCAGTACAGCTTGGTGCTGACGATAACAGTCCTTAATTTGCCGTCCATGCTGGCCCTCTCAATGCGGGGGTTTCTCCCCCAGTCTGTCCAGAACATCAGGTGAGAGCTGCAAAACAAATGATCGTGTTTAACACCAACTCCTTTGATAATGAAAAGGAGAATGAATTCATAGTTTTAAGACAAACAAGTTTCTTAGTATTTCACTGACCTGTCCCGCGGGTCCACCACCAGAGCTCGAGGGTTGGTGACATTTTCACTGACTAACACAGTGCGGTGGGTGCCATCCAGTTTAGACACTTCAACAGTCTCCAAGACGAAGTCAGTCCAGTACAGGTTCCTGCCCACCCAGTCCACAGCAAGGCTCTCTGTTACTGTCACTCCACTGTCAAATACCTGTGACCAAGAGACTCAATGTTACTCAATATGTTCAGTTATTAGGACAATTACACTAAGTATCAAGCTATGAATAAATACAGAATGATATGTATTATGTTGTAGGTGACTTTCTATGACACTTTTGTCTAAAGTGCAATATAAACTTACTTATATTGTGTTGTAATCTGCTTACACCACTGTTTAATTGTAGTTATATTCATTCATCAATATTCATAATGCTTTTCCACAATAATCTTAAACAATATAAAGCATTTTATAATGACATATAAGGTCATCATAATGACTGACTTAAAAAAAAAGGGTCATAGTGTGTTATAATCGCAATTGTTATTAAGTCCATTATAAGCATTAACTACCTAAGTATAAGCTTATTATAAGTCGCTATACATTTTGTTTTAATAAAATAAAAAAGTGAAATACAAGTGAATGATCAGCAATTACGGACTATTGTGATACTTGAACTTTAGGTTATTATAAAATGCTTTGTAATGTGTTATGATTATTGTTACTGTTTAAAGCATTATAAACGATTTACGAGTTTTACAGTATAACCATGATTATGAAGTGTTATAATCAGATTTTAATGCATTACAAGTACTTGTCTAATGGATTATAGGCAAAAAGTGTTTCTGGTAATAACCCACTCACCACAGTTCTGTCACTGCCGTTCTTGTTAGCACTCCAGATTCTGTCCTGGCTGGTGTCCGACCAGTACACACGGTCAGTGACTGAGTCAAAGTCTAGGGCCACGATGTTGCGCCCATCTCGGACCAGTGATCGGACCACATTGGGCTGAGCGGTTATGTCATCTTGCACAATCTGATTTCGACTGGCAACTAGCAGGAACGCCTGCCGTGAATCTGCAAACAGACGTCAAATCTCTGTTACCTATTTTTCATGTCCATTCTCATGCTAATTAGTGCACTTATCAGCGTTTTCATGTCAACCACAAGCATACAACAGGACTATTAAGTAGACCCTACTCAAATGGCAATCCTCTGGGAATGCACTTTTGTCCAAATAATGAACCATTGTATTGCAAAGCCTTTCAGCAGGTTATCTGTGTGGAAGAGGAGCTCATGTCAGGCACGCTCCCCCATAAACAGCCCTTTGTTGGCGCTAATTACACCAGTGATGGCCAGTGAGTGACACATATGTTATTTGTGTTATCTAAAGAAATCAGAGCAGCAACGAGAGACATGGGAGAAGAAAGACGGTGTGTCAGTCCCCTAGTCCGGTGGCCAAGCTCCCCCTTAATAACGGCCCATTCCTGCATGAGATATGTGCTCTACAGGCATCATGTTGACAACCGTGTAGCTGTCGCACTGATCATTTGCCAATTTCCTATTTTACTATATTATGCAATTATAGGTTGATATTTACAGGTACCACGGGAGTAATGTGGTCCCTGAAAAGAAGTCTGAAGCCATATCCCTCCTCACCTGAGGCCTTGCAGGTACGCTGGTCTACTTCCAGCGTGTATCCATCCTGGCAGTGGCAGCGGAAAGAGCCTCTCTCATTAAAGCAGTGCTGGCTGCAGAGTCCAGGGGGGTTACACTCATCCATATCTTCACAGGTTTTGGAGTCATTGCTTAGCTGGTAACCAACGGGGCATGTGCACTGGGCCCCAAAAGGCCCTTGGATACAACCGTGGGTGCAGCCAGCGTTGTTATCAGAACAGCTCTCCTGATCTGGTTTAAAAGCGTGGAAATCAAAATTTACAATCCAAAAAAGGAAAATCAAACCAAGTGAAAGATCACATATTTAACAAAAATTCAAGGCCTAACAAATTCTCAATGTCTCAATGATCATTTATGAACCGCACAGCTCGAACTACTTCAGTAATTGTCTTTAAAATGCTACTTTAAGCCAGAACTATTTGCACATATAACCCACACTTTGATTATGTTTTGCAAAGATCAACATTTAAAAAAGGTGAAAATCAAAGCTATGTCAAGCATTTCTACCAGTGATTGAGAGTTTGTTCCTACCTGGCAAGGGCTCATCTGAAAGTGGTGAGAAAGGCAAGAAAGGAAGATCACAGATCATCAGGTTAATACAGGTCAGATCAAACACATGCATGATTTGAACACAACAATCGAAAGACAAACAAATAACATTTAACACAAAATGTCTGTGAAATGTGGCGCTGTGTTACAGAATACAAGAGGAATGTCAAATTAAATACAAATCAATGGAGAGTTTGATCCTGTTTGTCATGTCATGTGAAATCTTTATTACATTTGAGAAGGCCAGCAAACATAGAAATGTAATTAAACAATCAAGTACTTTTGAAAGATGAGAAACATTTTTTAGGCTGACAAAGAGAGCAGAGATCAGACTTACTGCAGAGAGGAGACTCGTCAGCACCGTTGGGGCAGTCGGGGGTGTTGTCACACACTGTGGTGAGGTTGATGCACACACTGTGGCCGGGGCACTGCCACTGCCAGCTCGGACAGCGGAAGGGCGGCGTGGGACAGTCTTTTTCATCACTCAGGTCCCTGCAGTCGTTGTCCCCATCACAGATCCAGCTGCGTAACACACAGTTGCCGTTGTCACAGCGGAACAGTGAGGAGGGGCAGGTGCGGGGGGGGCAGGCCTGGTGCTCGTCGCTGCCGTCCTCACAGTCTGGATGACCGTCACACTCCCAGGTAGACGGCACACAGCTCCCGTCTGACTGACACTGGAACTCCCTCTCATGGTGGCACATCCCTGGAGGCCTAGTAGCTGAAACACATGAGAAAACACCACAAACAACTTGTTAGCAAAGCCTAAAGGTAATGAAATTCAAATAACTTTAAATCATCATTCTTATTCATAATTATGCATAACTGAGAAATGCTTTAGTAACACGACCTATGACCTATAGCCCGATTTAAATACTTACGACAGCCTTGCTCGTCTGTGCGGTCAGTGCAGTCAAAGACCCCATCACACCGGTAGTAGGAGTTGACACATTGGTGGCCAGTGGAACACTTGAACTCGTTCCCAGTGCAGTTGTAGACTGAAAAATATCAAGTTGGGAATGTTAAACCTGAGATTGACTGTTTGTGCAGTTGTGTATGTATGCTACGCTCACATGTTGTGCAACACAAGTAATGGGATCAATATACTGAGAGGCTTGAGGAACTTTACAGAGCATTCAATTGACCTCTACAACTTCTTGAACATGTTTGGTTAGCACAAACAGGTTTTTCTGAATGAATGAATGAACGGATTCATTAATACTTTTCTTTCTTCGAAAATGTATGACTCAACATCAGATGCAGAGCTTAAACACATCTTAATATTGGTGGGAAGAGAGTCTACATGAGAGAGTCCCATTGTAAAGCGTCCTTGGGTTTCGTGAAAGGCGCTATAGAAATTGAAATTATTATTATTATGAGACCTGAAAAAACTAAACAGAAGTTATTAAATAGAACTTAATAAAATACACAAACTTTTTTGATGTTTTTGAAAGTAAGCACCAGGTGAGTCTATCATGTGACTTTAAGTATGTTAAGAGAAAACTGTAATTCAGAAAGATACTCACTGCATCCCTGCTCATCCGCCCCATCCACACAGTCCCTGTCCCCGTCACAGACGTAGCTGGGGTCTATGCAGCGGTGGTCCGGACACTGAAACTGCCCTGGATGGCACGTGCTTGCCAGATCTGACAACAAAAAGTGTTAAACACCATATGAGCAGTGGTGGAAAATAACATTGAGTAAATGTACTCGCGTGCAAAATAAGTACAATTTTAAGGGACTTGTACGTTACTTAAGTATGTATAATGTATGCAACTTTATACTTCTAATCCTTCAATGCATCTCAACTTGTAAGTAAATTCTAGGTACATTTCTGTAACTGCTTTGTCTTAAAACTTTGATGAATTATGCAATTTTTGACTATTTATTATCTTATCCTTTTTCCTTTTAAGTATATTTCAAAAGCTGTTTTTGGCTTCTAATCTTTTCATTTTCTTAAATTTTAACTTTTTTTTTTTCATACATACATACTGTACAGTATGTGCAAAAACACTTAATATAATAATAATAATAATATTAAGGGACCTAGTTTAGGCGTGGCAATCAACATATGCACATTGTGTCTAGCTTCAACAGGGATACTCACGGCAGTCTGCTTCATCCGAGCTGTCCCCACAGTCATTATCAGTGTCACACCTCCAGGTATGTGGGATGCAGCGGTGGTTGGTACAGGTAAACTGATTAGCAGGACATGTTCCGGGCACCTGCGTAGGGCAGTTTACCTCATCGCTGTTATCAGAGCAGTCATTGTGCCCATCACAGCGCCATCTCGTAGGCACGCAGTGCTTATTGGCACATGTGAATGCAGACGGGGAGCAAGTGGTGTCTGCAAAAAGAGATTATAATATTAAATCAATTCTAATAATATTTAACAAAAAGTCAGTAAAAACACAGGAGCATAAACAGGTTTTTACTGCATTCAGGTCAGGCTAGTATAATAGACTACATTTACAAGAAAAGCATTACTGTTAATTCCACAGTTGAGTTCGTCACTGTTGTCATGGCAGTCATCAACACCATCGCATCTGTAGCTGTTTGGTACGCATTTGCCGTTGCCACAGGAGAAGGAGTTGGCTCCGCACTGCAGCGTGGGGGGCTCACTGGAAGGGTCTTCCACACATGTCTGCTGGTTGGGCAAAAGCTTCATGCCATACGGACAGCCACACACCCTCTGAGAGTCTGGGGCCGGGAAGCAGAAGTGGCTGCAGTCTCCGTTAGGATTTGTCTGCCTGTTGCAGAGATTGGAACCTGAGAGGAAGAGTGGAAAGTCATTATCGGGAATATGACTGAGAGGAGTGAGCCTCAGCTACACATGAATGGTGTAGAGAAGTGAGCAAAGCTACTGACCAATCTGAGAGTTGGAGCTGAAAGACTTGACATGCATTATGTGGCTGATTCCTCGTCTGATTATGACCATCTCCCCACCATCGGTCTTGCGCACACGTACAATGCCACCCAGGCGCCAGTCAGTGAAATATGCATAGCCTTCAAGTAGAAAAAACCCTCAGTGAGCTTATCTTTCATCACTTCCTTGTAACACTTATTGCTCTTTTGACATGAACATCATTAAAGCAAGAACCACAGTTCAAGTTGATGCGAGGGAAATAAAATCCCTCTTTATTTTAAATAAATTAAAAATAGATTAAAAGATTTTTCCAGAACTTTTTACCTTCAAAAATAGTGAGACCAAACGGATGGGAGATCTGGGTTATGCGATCCAAAGAAATCCTGTTCCGTCCGTCAAAGTTGCTGTGCTCAATTTTGTCAAAGAAAGCATCCACCCAGTACAGACGCATTGAGCTGGGTGGAAATAAAAGCAAGAGCAAGAGTTTGAAATAAGTCTCACATGTTGTCAGGCATCACATAATGTATGAGCAATACTACACAATATGTAATGTGTTGAAAAGTGTTTTCTTGGACTGTTTTTTGAGACATGTGGCAATAATAACTCACCTCCAGTCAATAGCCAGGCCATTTGGCCAGCCAAGAGTTGTGTTGACAATAGACAAGGCATGTGACCCGTCAGCCCAAGCCCTCATGATTTTCGCTGGCCGGTACCAGTCAGTCCAAAAAATATACCTGTTGAAGTAAAAAAAACAAGCATCAATTTAAAGGTGACCTATCGTGCAAAATGCACTTTTGTACATCTTTTATACATGAATATGTGTCCCCGGTGTTCCAGGGAACTCACCAAGTGTCAGAAAACACAACCCTCTCTATTTTCCTCCATACCCAAAACTCTTAAAAAGGGGCTGCAACGGATCGGATACAGACTGATCCAGATTTGAACACTTCTATGACGTCACAGAAGTGGCGCTACGGCTATTGGGCCAACTCCACCAATCAGGAGGAGACAGCCACGGACATTGCCGTTCGAAAGCGCTGGAGACGCTGTAGCACATATGCCAGGCCTGTAGATGGTGCTGTTCTCACAGAATCAGCCCATGCAAAGACAGTGTTAAATTGAGCGAAATGAGGAATGGCTAAAATGCATGATCTGTTTGGTATTTTGAAAAATAAAAAGTATAAATATGCCTTATATAGGTATGGTCCTACACTATATTATTCAAATATAGCATGATTGGTCCACTTTAATATTTTATTCAAAAACTAAATAATTAGAAACGTCTTCTGTGCCTTGCTGACAAAAACTCCTATTTAGATTGATGTTATTTTGGATACTTCCACATTAGAGCTTTTCTGTTTAAGCCAAGTTCTTAGTGTTAACTACAATACTCCCTTTCAAACTAAACTAATCTGTGCTGTTAGACACAAAGGCCTTATGACCTTAAGGCAATATAAATAACTAATTATTCTAAATAAAGATTTCATATATCAGTTGTCTAATTTCAATAATTTTACGTTTTTTTTATAGTTTTTATATTCAAACCTGTATTATCACCATCTCTGAATAGAAGCAAAATACAAATATTAGCTTCAAGTAACTACAGCCACAAAAGTATAATGTATTATCGTCTATTGATTTACCCAATGAGAGGATGAACCACTATGGCCCGAGGGTTGTTGAGGTTTCGTATGATGGTTCTCCTGGACTTATCAGCTATCTTCATGACAGATATGCTCCTGTATCGTGGGTCAGTCCAGTAGAGGTTCTTTGAAATCCAGTCGTAAGCCAGGTCCTCCACGCCATCCACTCTGTTGGCTGCCAGTACCTCCCTGCCTGTGCAGATCAAAGCAGTCAGAGCACCGTTTAACACAGAGATGAAAGAGGAACACATTTAAATAAATAGGCTGTCAGCTTGCATTTTCTCCATGTGGACGGGACAGAAAAAACTAGAGCAGCTCCAAAAACAACATCCCTGATCAGAGCAGCGGTGAATCTTTTTTCCAAGTGTGTGATGTGGCTGCTCGTCTACACCAGTAACTACTTTCCACAGCCTAGGTCAGGGGTGTGAAACTCAAGGCCCGGGGGCCAAATCCGGCCCGCGACTTCATTTAACGTGGCCCCACAAGAGCTCTGAAAGAATATAATACGTTTATTATACGGTTACATGCCAATTTACAGAGGTACGTTGCCCATAAACTACATGTCCCACAATGCATCTCCAATATGAATTTTGTTCAGAATTTGACTTTTTTGCTTCAAAATTTCTATTTGGCTTTTTAAAAAGCCAAATTCTCACTGAAGAGACTTCCAATTATTTGCCCTAGACTTCTGCTTTCAGATGTAGTTAATTATGAAGTTATTACCCTGTCCGATAATAATCCAATGCAGAAGCAATAACGTAATATAATACATACGTTTATATATATTAAATATTTATATATGTATTTTTATATAGTCTTAAAGTTACAACCGGCCCTTTGAGTGCAAGCATAATGCTGATGTGGCCCGCGATGAAATTGAGTTTGACACCGCTGGGTTAGAGCAACTAAAACATACTTACATTATGGTTAATTCATTTTTTAATAGCAACATGTGTTTCTTTACCATACACAAAAAGCCTCTTTCTGATTGACCATTTCTTAGAATATAATTGAAGATGTAAAAACAATCAGTTTGTTTTATAATGAACCAAAAGAGTATCGACAGTGACATAAACAACATGCTTCCTTTTTAGACCTTTAAGGTTTAAAGAGTAATTTATTCTCTAGATCAGGGGTCTCCAACACGTCGGGAAGCTTTTCAGTAGCTCGATTATCGATTATAGCGTAGTAAGGTTGCTTCTTGATTTTTTGGCCGCGGCCGGACAATAACGTTTTTTTATTTTAGAATTGTTTCTGTCACACGAATATCAAATTGGTCGGTGACGCAGAGATCAAGGAACAGACGTGACAGCGGCACAGCGACACCACACACGGAGCAGTCTGCTTTCTCCAGCAACACCAGTCCAGAACCAACAGTAGGATGACCCACTCTGAATCAGGCCCTGTCGCTGCGCCTCAGAGACACACAGGGAGGGATTTGTGTTTTTTTGAAAAACACTCGTTATCGTCATGTCAGGTTTTTGGTGGATTTAATCAAGCCCTGGATTGCAGAGTATGAATGTCCTCTTGCTATTTTCAGTTGATAAATACTTGTGTAAAGTTTGTGAAGGCAGGAGAAAAGCTTCCGCGATAACCGTCTCCTCTCCGTTCCTCTAAACTCCGCCCCCTCCCTGAAAATAACGAGTGACAGGCTGATAGTGACCCGATAGAAACTTTATTATTCACTTAATCACTGATTGAGATATGATGAGCTAACTTAGTCTCCTACAATTATGGGATTTATGTAACAGTAAGACAGAGAATGTAAGTGTATTTTTGTTTTTATAATGCTGTTGTAAATACTCCTGTTGTCTGCTGTGTTCAGACTTAAGTCATGTGTGTGATGCCACATTCAAGACATTCAGTGTCCGTTGCTAGAAGCTGCAGCTAGACCTCAGAAGCATTTGTTTTTTGTTTTTGAGGATGGAACAATTTCACACACAGATGCTAGATGCAAAAGCTAGACCTATACAATTGATTTAATATGGTTTATAATTGTATGCCAAGATGGAGAAGAAGAAGAAAAAGATGGCTGAACTGTTCAGTGTCAATCCTGTGGAGATGGAGGTTAATGCATCTCCAAAATCATGTTCAGCTTAAGTCTCAGCAAAACTCACAACATTTCTGGAGCCTTGTAGACCCAGAAAACTATAAGAACATTCACCAAGCAGCACTGAACATGTCTGCTTTATTTGNCCGCGCCTTTTTCCCTATTTTTCGACGCTGCGGCTTATATAACGGTGCGGCTAATCTATGGATTTTTACAGCTAACGGCCAACACCTTTAACTCTATGGGCTCTATGGCCGGTCCGCGGACCCCCACCTTTAAGCGGCGGGTTCCAGCAGGAAAAGCTGGAGGCCGGAAAAGAGTGAGACAGGTAGCGCGCAAAAGTAAAAGTGGAACCGAGAGTGGTATGCCGCTGCTGCGGCTTATATTCAGGTGCGGCTTATAGTCCGAAAATTACGGTATATATTATTTTCTTACGATAACACCGCTTGCCATCAGCATGTATGTCGTAGCCCATGCGACATTTGCAGCGGTAACCAAGACCTCCATTGTCACTCCTGTGACTCAGAACACAGATCTGCTCACATCCACCTCTGTCTACACTACAAGGGTTAGCAACTGGAGAAAAAAGAGAAGAACTTACATTTAATAACTGGAAAAGTTATATGAAATGTGTCACATATATTGATTTTCTTTAAATATAGCTATTTATGAAGTAACACTAGCAGTAGCACTAGCATATGGCAATTAATACTAATATACATTGCAGGAAGAGGCATACAAACAAACTTGGCTAATTTGAAGCTTCCATATATTTACGTTAGGCTTTGAACATCTACATTCTGAAAAATACCAAGCTATTTTATTGAGGCACTTACCATATGGCTGTTTCAGCTGATGTATGACGGCTACTCCGTGTGGAGTCTGAGATGTATTGAAAACAACTTGGGTACTGCTGTCAGAGAACTTGTTGGCTGTCATCACGGCCATCTTGGTCCAGTCCGTGAAATAAACACTGTGTTCAAACAGACTGATGCCAAATGGGTGTGGGATCACAGCACCTCCATGTACCACCGTTTTTCTATAACAAAAAGGAGAACATTGATTTATTTGAATATAAAAGCATGGACCTTTTGACTTTTTTACCCCAAAGAAGTCTTGGAGATTTGCTTTAATGTTTTTGTTGTCAACATATTTACCGATGAAGGCCATCATATGTCGCCGTTTCAATATAGTCATAGCGACTGTCAACCCAGTAGACGCGCTTTTCTTCAATGTCCAGTGTTATGCCAGCTGGCCAACCCAGTTTGGTTCTAATAATCCCATAACGGTTGGTGCCATCCATGAAGGCCCGCTCCAGGCCTGGTTGTCCATTCACTGCCTCCCAATCAGAGAAGAACATATACCTGTAAAAGACAACGATAAAGTAAAAACAAATTCAAAGTTCAAAGGAATTTGTTGTCATATGCACAGCTACAGTGAAAGACTCAAATCACAGGCTCCTCCAACAATGCAAGATCAACAGAATAAAAAAACTATGAAAATAGTGCGAGAAGGAAGAGAGTAGAAATAACATATAGTGCGAGAGAATGTTGCAGGATTTATGTGCAAGTCATGCAGGAGATGTTAAAGAAATGTAAATAAAATAGAATAAGATGAGCTAATGTAGAATGTAATAATTATCTTTTGGGGAAAAAAATACTTTCTTCTTGTTAATAAAGTGTGGCATTCACATTGCCCCATTATTTCCCCCAGGTGTGTGGCTGTGCATCCCACCGCAGAGCTGTACATTAACTTAAGCAATTTATCCGTAGCCACCTGGTTCCCCTCCCCCTTAAACTATACTATTGGATTACAATGAGGGTCATCACTTACATTGCTTCTCACTAATCCACCCAGGGCAATCTGCTAATCTCCCACACACCCCCCATTATTCCACACCAATGGAGCACGACAGATACTGTATGTGGGGTTCGGGAATGCGTTGACAGATAGATGGATGGAACCTGGGAGATGTGCTTACCCGACAGTGGGGTCCACCGCCAGTCCTCTAGGGTTTCCCAGGTTTTCAGTGATGAGTGTGACCCGGTTGCTGCCATCAAAGTCCACCATGTCAATCCTGTTGACGCTGGACTCCACCACATACAGTTTATTGTTCACCCAATCCACCGCCAAGTTCTCGGGGTAGTCAACCGATACATTTAAAACCACCTGCACATTGGAACCGTCCATATCCACAGAAAACACCTGTACACAAAAGACGCCATTGTTAGCAGGATATTAGCTCTAAGGTGGTCGCTGCTTCTAGAAATCATGGGAAGATATTAAAAGGTAAATTCACATATTTCCAAGTGTATCTAAATACAATACTTGCATTCCTGTAGGTACATTAAAAGTGCAATTGGTCACTGTAGTTGTTCCCCCTGTTCATACTGGTCACAAAGAGACCCATTCTTAAATCGATTTTGATGTAAGAGACAAAATCCCTGGCTCTTGTTCAGAGAAAAAAAAATACTAGAAATTGCTTCAGGCTTCAAATATCTGAGTAAAAAAATCATGATGGTATCTTTTAAAAGCTTAATGGACAGTGCCTTCTTACTGCACTACTGCAAAAACTAACGGTAATGACACAAGAGAATGTTGCAATTTGTACATACAGCAACTTTAACTTCTTTAAAAGGGGATCAGTTTGTTGCCAGTGTGATAAACAGGAGAAACCACTATGAACGAACAATAAACAATTTATTAAAAGTATGTGAACTTATCTTCTAAGAAGGATAGATGAGAAGCTAAAACAGAGAAATACATTTGAGAAAGTAGAAGGGGGAGAAAGAGAGATTCTTTTTCGCTTGTCTGATGATTCTGTCTTGATGAATTTCTGTTAAGCCTGTAAAGTTTTTTGTTCCTGATTTTGCCACTCTACCTATGTTACAGTATCATGGCCCTAGTTTCTCAGACTTGAAGCCTTGGCACCATGCAGCTGGTTAGAGGGGTTACGGCTCCGAGCAGCTCTGCTTCTTTTGAAACAAGATCCACACGTCGTAAAAGCAGGATTTTTCAACTGACCTGTTTAAAGAGAAACTGAAGATGAGGAAATAGCCTGATAGTTTAGCCTTTTTTCGGTGTCATTCACATGCCCTGTGTGCGCTTTGCCCACTTTAATCTGACATTCTGCCATGGAGGTGGCTAATATACACACATGCCCAGTAAGAGATACGACCTAGCCTTTCAGCCCAGTGGCTGCAGTGAAAACCTTCCAGGAGCCAAAGCATAGTCTATACAGAGAGTTTTTAGATGGACAAAGAATGCATATAGATAAACAGTGCCACTGAAAAAAAATACAGCATGATTACTACGAACAAGATCAAGTTACAAAAATTGCACCCTGGTATGTGAACATCAAACCAGCCTATCAGAAGGGTTTCAAGATTAGGTCGTTTGGATTCCATTCCACATCGACTTCCCTTCATTATGACCCAGCCGCAAAGGAGCCAGCAGGTATCCCATTATTATAGTATCAACATTGCTGATATTTTACAAGATAACAGAAAGAATTCAACCTGGCCAGCTCCAGTCTAATTAAATGATTTACTCAAACAAGAAAGTGGTCTACTCACGTGAACTTTTACCAAAGAATTACAACATATCCTCAAAGTAATGCTTTTTGACAATCACTGCAGTTCAACGCTTCATAATATATAACATTGGATTTGGAAATTGGATTACCTTATTCTGAATGGTATCAGTCCAGAAGATCCTGTGCAGATTATAATGGAAATCCACTCCCACTGCAACTCCTCTGTTCTGTGAATGAACCAAAGTGCGCATGCTGTTGCCATGGACGTCACCGATTAGAAGGTCTCTGCCATTAGAAAATATCAAGAACGGGACTCCAGCTGCAGCAGAAATAAAACACAACAAGTTAGAAACCTTGCATGGAGAAGTTATTTCAAATGTTCAGGTTAGAAACAGAACCTCATTTGCATTTCAGCATCAACTTAACATCAGTGGAAATCTACAGAATGTAGCACATTCATTCAGACCCCTGACTCAGACTTGGAGAGGTAGAATACTTTGCCACTATCATTACACTCTTTTCAAAAAGGCTGAAGGCAGAGAGGTCAGCCTCTCAGTCAACACTCTTTCTATGTTCCACAAAGGCAAGGGACTAACTAAAACAACATTTGCTATGCAACAATGCACCAGAAAGAAATGCAGATGCTCAGTAAAGCAGCCACTGAGGTTGGCAAACTAGGAAGGATGGCTATGCTAACTGACTTCAGTTCGATGGATTATTCGCACATGGAAAATGTGACTATACTGTCTGTAAGAGAATCTGTTCAAACAAAGAGGAAATTACACTCACTCGAGGAGTCAGCTCTGCAGTGTCTGTGCTGCTCCAGGATGTAGCTCTCTCGACAGCTGCAGCGATGGGAACCGACTCGGTCCTCACACAGTTGGTCACACACGCCCCACATCGAACAGTCGTCAAAGTCTTCAGCATGAAATAGAAATCACAGCAGATGAGGATTTAACACTACCGGTATCTTGTTTGAGTCCATCTACATCTTTTATTATTGTGAGACAACAACTGTGATGAGGTGTGCATCAACAAAGATTTCTTATTTACTTTAAATTCAGATATGAGAGCAGACTTTTTCTGCTGAGTCTAAGCAATTACATGATTTTATGTGCACTTTTAGATCTTGCAAACCTGTGATGTCCCGGGGGAAAAATCCTTACGACAAAAGCGGTTCAAGTAGCACCGAAAATGTTCATTTGCTGAGCCAAAGGGGACTTGTATGTAAAAGTATTAGAAATCCCATTTGATTATATGAAATAATTTAAATTGCTAGGTTAATATGGTCAATAAAGGATTTACACATACCTATACATGAGCGACTATTGTTGTTGTTGACAATGTATCCAGAAGGACAGGAACATGTTCCTCCATCAGGGGAACCATGACAACGATGCTCACAGCTCAGAGAGGCACATCTCCAGATACCTGACAAGACATATCAGTGAATGAATATACTTCGATTGACCAGTTTGCATGATAATAAACGTAACAACGTGTGGAAAAGGTGTGATTGTACTAACTGCAGTTGCGCCCAGCAGTGCTGTTAGTTTCATCCTCTCCCTCTGGACAGTGAGCCGTCCCATCACACAGCTGATCCATGGGGATACACAGGCCAGACGATGGACAGGGCCATTCACCTGGGTAACACTCCTGCGGTACATTATCTGCAGACATAACAAATTGATCCTTGTTTAGACTAACACATCCAAAAAGGAAAAACTAAATCCTAAAACAGCAGAGCAGAGGTTTCCTGATTGAACACTGTTTCAAAAGGAAAATGTATTTAGTGTGTGAGGTATGTGAGGAAGCCACACCTCCACAGTAATTTAGTCTAGAATAGATCATAAGAAAATGGTGACAAGGATTTTATTTTCAGGGAAATTACTGTCACTTTAAATCGATGCAGGGGAGTGGAGCTTTGAGGGGGTCACATGGGGGCTCACAGAGCTCCTGCAGCCCATCCTCTAAAAACACACACTCTTCACAGCCGTGTGGAGGAATTCTAAAGCCCTTTGGGGGGCTGCGTGATCTTGTGCCACAAAGAGGCATTTGAATAACACACTTAAAGGAGCACAGGCATAGCGTCTTGCTATCCGGAACAAACCATGGAGACTGGAGATGAATCAGGTTCACAGAGTACTCAAGCTGTAGTGTTCTACAAACAGCCAAAAGCCTAACGTTTCTGCTCTTTACAGCAAAAAAACAAACAAGATTTGTGGTTTTTATGAAGTGGTTTCAAAAGTGTTGAATCCATACCACATCCTTTTTCATCTGCATTGTCCTCACAGTCGTCTTCCCCATCACAAACCCAGACTTGGTGGATACAACGGCCACTGGGGCAGGTGAAGTAGTTCCCTTTACATGTAGGATATGCTGCAGGTGAAGTGGAGAATATCAATACACAATAAACATTTCAGGAACATCTATCGATAAGATTAGAATCATAACAGACAGTCTGAAAGAGAAGAGAGGGTACATAGACAGAAGCTACATACTGCAGTTTAGCTCATCACTTCGGTCTCCACAGTCATCATCGTGGTCACAGACGTAGCGTTGAGGAACACACGCCCCGTTATGGCACGGGAACAGGCCCGTATTACAGTGCTGTGCTAAGAAAACACAAGAGAATACGACAAACAGATATAGTTGGTGATGATTTTGAGCAAGGGATGGTATTGCTTTTCTTGGGTGCATTTTTTGGAACTCTAAACAATGACTTCCACATGAAATTCGTATTTGCTTACTGCAATTTGACTCGTCAGAGCCATCCCGGCAGTCAACTATCTGGTCACATCTCCCGGTCCGGTTGTAGCAGGCCCCATTAGCACACCTCAGCTGTGTGCACTCAGGGTAATCTGGAAGATTAAATCATCATCAGGGCGACACTTACCAAGCAGGCAGCTTGACAACTGTGTTCTTCCTAGCTTTGAAAATGTGAAAAGAATTTGAGGGATAATCGATGGAAATGTAACCCCACCACCGTAACAACAGCGGTTGCCACAGCATTCTTTAGGCAATTGTGAGATTACCACAGTGTGTAGTGCTGTGAGTCTGACCATGTCGGCACAATAATAGCATAGCAGCTGAACTTCAGCTTGACTAATCCACCAAGGAATCTGCAATCAACCTCTGACAACAAGAAGCATATTGTGGCCCGTTCTGTCAGTCAGCAAGCCTCTTAATCTTAACAAAATGATTAAAATGCCACAGGAGTAGGAGATAAAAAAAGAAAAAAGGCAAACCACCCCGGGGAAGACTTACGGCAGTCTCTCTCATCGGATCCATCTGAGCAGTCCGCCAGACGGTCACATCGGTATTCTCCTGGGATGCATGCCCCGTTACTACAGCTTAACTGACCACTGGTGCACGTCCTTCCAGCTGAGGACAGAGTGGAGAGTGACTCAGCAGCACATAGAAAACTGATATTATAGTTATTTTCTGCACTTAAAACATTTCCTATAGTAGCTGTAGGATCTGAACAGGTATTGCACTTTCACAGACCATTAAGCAGGTATTTTTGGAGATACTGGAATAACAACTTGTACAACTTGGGCGACTATGGCTGCGAGGGAGTACGGTCGGTTTTCAACCAGAAGGTTGTGGGTTCGATCCCAGCCCATGCAGCCAACATGTCGATGTATCCTTGGGCAAGATACTTAACCCTGAGTTTCTCCCGATGGCATGGCCAACTGGAATC